CACTACTAGCCCCCTCGGCTGCGTGTGGGTCAGGAGACAGACCTGTCTCTAGACCGGCATACCGAGCCCTCTCTCCTCGCCAGTACTTCTTCGCCTGGCTGCTGAAAAGGCGGATGTCTCCCCCCGTTCCTGACCGCCCTCTGTTAGCTCTTCCTCACTGTACAGTGGGGCTGAGCCCACAGCATGCGATACTTCGCTTGGTGAGGGAACACCAAAGGACAGGGGCAGGTAGAGGACACGTGATTTTTCAGTGGGCTTGGTCCCGGGCCATGCCAAACTAACGGTTGTGTCTGACGTACCCACCGACCGTTGGCTGTAGGTGTCAGAGGTGACCTGGGAAGAGGAAGACGACCGAGCCAAACCAATCGACGACGGCAGGGTTGTCGGTGGAGACACGACCGCTGGATGACACCCCGGGAGCACTGGCCTCTGGCTGCAAATAGTGCTGCCCTCGACCCCTTCCTCTGCTGCCACGTCTGCTCGCTCCTAAAACATTGCCTCCTCTGCCACTCCTCTGCATGTTGTCTGACATACTCTTTAATTCAACGATTCTGTGTCCCTGAGTAACAATTCTGTGTCCCTGAGTAACAATTCTGTGTCTGTCCCTGAGTAACAATTCTGTGGCCCTAAGTAACGGTTCTGTGGCCCTCAGTAACAATTCTGTGTCCCTCAGAGTAACAATTCTGTGTCTGTCCCTGAGTAACAATTCTGTGGCCCTAAGTAACGGTTCTGTGGCCCTCAGTAACAATTCTGTGTCCCTGATTAACGTTTATGTGGCCCTAAGTAACGGTTCTGTGGCCCTCAGTAACAATTCTGTGTCCCTGAGTAACAAATTAACTGTGTCTGTGGCCCGAGTAACAATTCTGTGGCCCTCAGTAACAATTCTGTGTCCCTGAGTAACAATTCTGTGTCCCTGAGTAACAATTCTGTGTCTGTCCCTGAGTAAAGTAACAATTCTGTGGCCCTCAGTAACGGTTCTGTGGCCCTCAGTAACAATTCTGTGTCCCTGAGTAACAATTCTGTGTCTGTCCTGAGTAACAATTCTGTGTGTTCTAAGTGTTCTGTGCCCTCAGTAACAATTCTGTGTCCCTGAGTAACAATTCTGTCTGCCCTAAGTAACAATTCTGTGGCCCTCAGTAACAATTCTGTGCCCCTGAGTAACAATTCTGTGTCCCTGAGTAACAATTCTGTGTCTGGCCCGAGTAACAATTCTGTGGCCCTAAGTAACAGTTCTGTGGCCCTCAGTAACAATTCTGTGGCCCTGAGTAACAATTCTGTGGCCCTAAGTAACAGTTCTGTGGCCCTCAGTAACAATTCTGTGTCCCTGAGTAACAATTCTGTGTCCGTCCCTGAGTAACATTTCTGTGGCCCTAAGTAACGGTTCTGTGGCCCTCAGTAACAATTCTGTGTCCCTGATTAACGTTTCTGTGGCCCTAAGTAACGGTTCTGTGGCCCTCAGTAACAATTCTGTGTCCCTCAGTAACAATTCTGTGTCTGTCCCTGAGTAACAATTCTGTGGCCCTAAGTAACGGTTCTGTGGCCCTCAGTAACAATTCTGTGGCCCTAAGTAACAATTCTGTGGCCCTCAGTAACAATTCTGTGTCCCTGAGTAACAATTCTGTGTCTGTCCCTGAGTAACAATTCTGTGGCCCTAAGTAACGGTTCTGTGGCCCTCAGTAACATTTCTGTGTCCCTGAGTAACGTTTCTGTGGCCCTAAGTAACAATTCTGTGGCCCTCAGTAACAATTCTGTGTCTGTCCCTGAGTAACAATTCTGTGGCCCTAACTAACGTTTCTGTGGCCCTAAGTAACAATTCTGGCACTCAGTAACAATTCTGTCTGTCCCTGAGTAACAATTCTGTGGCCCTAACTAACGTTTCTGTGGCCCTAAGTAACAATTCTGTGGCCCTCAGTAACAATTCTGTGTCTGTCCCTGAGTAACAATTCTGTGGCCCTAAGTAACGTTTCTGTGGCCCTAAGTAACAATTCTCTGGCACTCAGTAACAATTCTGTCTGTCCCTGAGTAACAATTCTGTGGCCCTAATAACGTTTCTGTGGCCCTAAGTAACAGTTCTGTGGCCCTCAGTAACAATTCTGTGTCTGTCCCTGAGTAACAATTCTGTGGCCCTAACTAACGTTTCTGTGGCCCTAAGTAACAATTCTCTGGCACTCAGTAACAATTCTGTCTGTCCCTGAGTAACAATTCTGTGGCGCTAACTAACGTTTCTGTGGCCCTATGTAACAATTCTCTGGCACTCAGTAACAATTCTGTCTGTCCCTGAGTAAACAATTCTGTGGCCCTAAGTAACAATTCTGTGGCCCTCAGTAACAATTCTGTGTCTCCCTGAGTAACAATTCTGTGGCCCTAACTAACGTTTCTGTGGCCCTAAGTAACAGTTCTGTGGCCCTCAGTAACAATTCTGTGTCTGTCCCTGAGTAACAATTCTGTGGCCCTAACTAACGTTTCTGTGGCCCTAAGTAACAGTTCTGTGGCCCTCAGTAACAATTCTGTGTCTGTCCCTGAGTAACAATTCTGTGGCCCTAACTAACGTTTCTGTGGCCCTAAGTAACAATTCTGTGGCCCTCAGTAACAATTCTGTGTCTGTCCCTGAGTAACAATTCTGTGGCCCTAAGTAACGTTTTCTGTGGCCCTAAGTAACAATTCTGTGGCACTCAGTAACAATTCTGTCTGTCCCTGAGTAACAATTCTGTGGCCAATAACGTTTCTGTGGCCCTAAGTAACAATTCTGTGGCCCTCAGTAACAATTCTGTGTCTGTCCCTGAGTAACAATTCTGTGGCCCTAACTAAATTCTGTGGCCCTAAGTAACAATTCTCTGGCACTCCCAGTAACAATTCTGTCTGTCCCTAAGTAACAATTCTGTGGCCCTAAGTAACAATTCTGTGTCTGTCCCTGAGTAACAATTCTGTGGCCCTAACTAACGTTTCTGTGGCCCTAAGTAACAGTTCTGTGGCCCTCAGTAACAATTCTGTGTCTGTCCCTGAGTAACAATTCTGTGGCCCTAACTAACGTTTCTGTGGCCCTAAGTAACAGTTCTGTGGCCCTCAGTAACAATTCTGTGTCTGTCCCTGAGTAACAATTCTGTGGCCCTAACTAACGTTTCTGTGGCCCTAAGTAACAGTTCTGTGGCCCTCAGTAACAATTCTGTGTCTGTCCCTGAGTAACAATTTCTGTGGCCCTAACTAACGTTTCTGTGGCCCTAAGTAACAATTCTCTGGCACTCAGTAACAATTCTGTCTGTCCCTGAGTAACAATTCTGTGGCCCTAATAACGTTTCTGTGGCCCTAAGTAACAGTTTCTGTGGCCCTCATTAACAATTCTGTGTCTGTCCCTGAGTAACAATTCTGTGGCCCTAACTAACGTTTCTGTGGCCCTAAGTAACAATTCTCTGGCACTCAGTAACAATTCTGTCTGTCCCTGAGTAATGCTTCTCTGTCCCTAAGTAACGTTTCTCTGTCCCCAAGTAACGTTTCTGTGGCCCTAACTCTGTCCCTAATGCAGAGCGGTCTGCCTCTCTTGAATGACTGGAGGCAAATGAAGAATTCTAAAATGGCCGCTATTTATAGCTCGACCATTACACAGTGCTGGCTGCCTGGCTGCTGATTGGCTAATGCGATCACATGTCATTAAGGAATGCATTATGGGTCAGCGCGCCTTGTCTGCGCGCCTTCCCAGACATCCCCGCTCCGTCGCCGCACATGTCCGCCGCCAATTTAAGAAAAATTTCGATTCGCGCGTCCTAAGTAGGCTATTTTTCGGATTCGGCGCGAATCGAAAATTTTCCAATATTCGACTCGAATTCCACTTCGCCTACTTCGATTCGCTCATCTCTAGTGAATACCTATTCTGTTAAAGGGTAAGGTGGTAGACAAAGAGGTCTATTTATTAAAGGCAAATAGACTGTGCACTCTGCAAGGGCATATGCGTCAGATTTTAGTAAATTTAGAGGAAGCTCTGCTGACTTCCATCATCTAATCATGTGTATGCAAAAATGCTGTTTTTTTTATTTTCCTTGCATGTGATTAGGCATTCTTTACAAGGAGAAGGTTCTCCTCATTTACTATGCTCTGGAGCAAGTGCCCAGTCTATTTGCCTTTTAGGAAATCGACTCATAAGTGTAACACTTGAGAGCTAGGATAAATTTTTGGTTTAGAATGTGAATTACGTGTTCGGCCAGGTTAAAAGTTTAGTTTAAGGTTTAGGTTAAAAAATGTAGGTGGTAGGGAGGAGGATTTAGACCTACAAGTTTAATTCTCTGACTTTGTTTTAGGGTTTGGAAAAGAAGTTGGATTAAAGCTGAATTTGGTTATAGGCAGATATGGTCCAAAATACTAGAAACGTGTATTCTTACTTTTGATCTTGGGTTTATTTATGTATTTCTTCCAGATCTGTGCAGTAATCCAGTATGAAAATGTGCCTCTGTGCTGAAGCCTTATGTAATGAAGACCAGTCACTGCTGCTCTCTCTTTGTGCAGAATGACTGGTCTTGTATCTGCTTTCCTTTATCTAGTTTTCTGCAGGTAGCCTACAGCTGGAGGACCTGCTTGGTCCCCTTTCCCCCCCCACCTCAACAGCTCTGCTCCCTGCAAGGGCTATGTGCAGCACAGGTATTAGGCCTAGTTCACACTAGCTTTGAAAGCAGGCGTTTAAGGGGTGGTTTTTTTTATATTTAAATATTTTATAAAATTTTCCAAATTTTCAAATTTATACAAACAAACTGTACACAAATAAACACATAAAACTACCACAGATTGATTGTCATAATATCTGGTTATTTAACCAAAAAAAATTCCTAAACATTTTCCCTCCCCTCCCCCTCCACCACCACCCTCCAACCCCCCAAGACCTCCGCTCTGCCTCTTTCCCACTTCCTCTGGAGATCCCAATTCAGAAACATATCCATATTCTTTCTCTATTACCTTCCCATATACCGTATTTTTCGCACCATAAGACGCACTTTTTCCCCCCCAAAAAAGGGGGGAAAATGTCAGTGCGTCTTATGGAGCGAATATGGAGCGGCCGGTCCGGTATTTCCACTGCCGCCGTGTCAGAATACCGGGCCGGCCGCTCAGCTCTACAGCGGGACCTTATAGAGATGACTGCTGACCTTTGGGGAGGGAGGGGGAGCGGGTACCTGAATTTGACAGGTACCCGCTCCCACTTCCGTGGAGTTGTTCTTTCATCTTACCCGTTCTTCTATCCAGCGGCGCGGTCTTCCCGGCTTCTGTAGTGTGGGCATGACAGCCGGGTGCCAAGTGCGCATGCGCAGGAAGCGGTGCTTTTTGTGAATGGTAAGGCGGCACCTGGGACACATGACAGATCCCAGAAGCCGCCGGACCAATCACAAAGCGCAAGTGCTTCTCGCTCCTGCGCACTGGGCACCCGGCTGTCATGCCGAGCGCCATTACAGAAGCCGGGAAGACAGCGCGCGGCTGGATAGAGGAACAGTTAAGATGAAAGAACAACTCCGCGGAAGTGGGAGCGGGTATCTGTCAAATTCAGGTACCTGCTCCCCCCCTCCCCAAAGGTCAGCAGTCACTAGTGTACTATCCACAGTATCTGGTCATCCCTGTGCTGTCCGCAGTCTCTGGTCATCTCCTGTACTGTGTCAGCAGTCTCTGGTCATCCCTGTACTGTGTCTGCAGTCTCTGGTCATCTCCTGTACTGTGTCCGCAGTCTCTGGTCATCTCCTGTACTGTGTCCGCAGTCTCTGGTCATCCCTGTACTGTGTCCGCAGTCTCTGGTCATCTCCTGTACTGTGTCCGCAGTCTCTGGTCATCTCCTGTACTGTGTCCGCAGTCTCTGGTCATCTCCTGTACTGTGGCCGCAGTCTCTGGTCATCTCCTGTACTGTGGCCGCAGTCTCTGGTCATCTCCTGTACTGTGGCCGCAGTCTCTGGTCATCCCCTGAACTGTGTCCGCAGTCTCTGGTCATCCCCTGAACTGTGTCCGCAGTCTCTGGTCATCTCCTGTACTGTGGCCGCAGTCTCTGGTCATCTCCTGTACTGTGGCCGCAGTCTCTGGTCATCCCCTGAACTGTGTCCGCAGTCTCTGGTCATCCCCTGAACTGTGTCCGCAGTCTCTGGTCATCCCCTGAACTGTGTCCGCAGTCTCTGGTCATCCCCTGAACTGTGTCCGCAGTCTCTGGTCATCCCCTGAACTGTGTCCGCAGTCTCTGGTCATCCCTGTACTGTCCGCAGTCTCTGGTCATCTCCTGTACTGTGTCCGCAGTCTCTGGTCATCCCCTGTACTGTGTCCGCAGTCTCTGGTCATCCCCTGTACTGTGTCCGCAGTCTCTGGTCATCTCCTGTACTGTGTCCGCAGTTCATTAGTTCAGAATTTTTTTTTCCTGTTTTCTGCCTCTAAAACCTAGGTGCGTCTTATGGTCAGGTGCGTCTTATGGAGCGAAAAATACGGTACTCTAGGATTAACTCTGACTCCTTAAAATCCTCCCAACTTTTCCACTTGGCGCGAAAGCTCTCCATCTTATCTTCACTCAAGTGGTAAAGTTCTTCTAATCCATATATCTGGTCCATCCTATTTATTTAGTCCTTTATTTTTGGTACCTCCTGTTTCTTCAAAACTTGGGAATCAATCCCTTTGCTGCATTAAAATAATACAATAAACCATATTGTTTATATTTCTTAACCGATCGCTTAGTACCATGGAATAGGCAAGTCTCTGGGTCTTTTAAAATATCAACCTCGGTTATTTTCTGAATCATGTCTACTATTTGCCCCCAATACTCTTGAATTTTTGGACACTCCCACGAAATGTGATACATTGTACCTCTATCCCCACATCCCCGCCAACACAAAGGTGAGTTATCTCCATTCAATCTGTGTGCTACACTCGGTGTGATATACCATCTTGCTAAACATTTATAATTCATCTCTACCTCCTTCATATTTACATTTTCGTGTATAAACTATATATTTTCGTGTTTAGACTACATATTTTCTTTTGCTTTTCCAAATCTACTGTTAATCCTATAAACGCCTTGAGGGGTGTTTTTAATACTCCTCAAATTCCTATGAAAATGATACTATGGGAAGCACACAGTGCTGTTCACATTATCAAAACATGAAAGGTTAGCGTTGCATCGCTTCAAGATTGAAGCCTCACGTAGTATCAGGAGGAGTTAAAGCCTTTCAAGTCTATGGTGATGATGCTCCTCAAATGCCCTGGCAGTCATTTGTTGGGCATTTGCAGGGCTTTTGCGGGGCATTTATACCATTTAGAGTTTATTATAGGCATTTGTGGTGTGGGTCAATGCTTGTAAAACATCTCAAAACCACTCATAGGGTGTTTGGGGAGCATTTTTAATGCTTGTAAAACGTTAATACTAAAGCACATTAACGCCTGTCTAACTCCCATACTAATGCTATAGGGGCATTTTTGAACAGATAGAAATTTAGTCAAGTGTGAACAAGCTCTTACGCTGCTACTTTTACAAAGTAATACAATGAGTTTGGAAAGGAATTTGGTAAACACTAGATGGGATTATATAATTTGTGTATGCTGAGGAATATACTGTATTTGTATTAAAGTTTTGTTATGCCTGGAGTTCTGCTTTAGGTATCTGTTAGGATGTATCAGAGTTTAGGGAGTTTAAGAAGTGCTTTAAATTGCTTGCTTTCTTTTCTGAATGTCCTGCTCAAAGAATTTCTATGCCAAAGTTTTGGCCTAAAAAACAAAAACACATTGTCCTTCCTTCCTTTCATTATCATCTTCCTTCACAATCAAAATACCATCATCATTAACTGCTGCTAGTGTACAGTACTTTTACTGGCAGAAATCCTAAAAGCTGCATGTGCATCTTTTTCTATCTCTTCCTAACCTATGCAATCATTAATCATAAAATTTATGGATGGACATCTAAGTTCTAGCCAAGATGCCGGTAGTGTAGCCAATTCTTGTTAGTAAGTTGTAGTGGAAGTATAACACTTTGTTCTTTACAAGACATATTCTTGCTAGTTTCATGACACCATGACATATTGCAAATTGGAAGACATAACAATATGATTCTATGAGCACAAATTTAAAAATAATACATAACAGTTTTTGTGTAATTTAGTGATATATAACATAATTAGGTTTCCTAGCTATTTTTAACACCATATTTACCTTGTAAGGTCAAAAGTGTATTTAGCTGTAATTAATAATTATTTAATAAATTACAACTTAATATTAATTTAATGAGAACCCCACTGAAGTCAAAGAGAGGATAACCTTGTAAAAAATTATATTTTCATGGCTAATAGGCAAGGAATTGTTAAAGGACATGTAGAACTGAGCATTTGCTGGGAAGAAATGTACCAATGCAAGAAAAGCAAACAAACATTTAGCAGCTCTTTCAATAAGGCTTAAAGTGAAACACTTAAAACGCACAATTTCTTTAAATAACTTGCTTGCCACTAAAAGAAATTTCCTTGCTTGATTTTTATTGGTGAAAAAATAGCATGGGGATCTCCAAAATCAACGATTTGGCCAATAACTTGGGGGGAATGTACCAATGAAAATAAAACATTTGTCTAGGAGCAATTATTTTAATGAGAATAAATAACATGACTGGGGGGATTGGGGGGCTGCTTGCAAAGTGGTACACTTTTACTATGTACCAAAGCAAAGGTGACATTTACACAAAAATACTATTGAAATTGCTGGCCAATAAATGACATTTCCAAACCAAGTTGTGATGTCTGTAAACATAGAAACCAGCATCCCATTCATCTATACCAGACCTTTATCCTAGGTGAGGGTCTGGTGCTGATTGTAAGGGAGACCCCATAAAAAAGCAAAACAAATGGTGTGAAGCTCCACCTAAAAGTACATCCCAGGCAAATTTTCATTGATGAGGGTAAATTTTAAGGGGGACCCCACACAATTTCATACCTGTGGGGGGACCCCATACAAAAAACAAATTCACATCAGATCCTTATCTGAGCTATGTGGGGTGATCACAGTGCCACACGATGTGCAGACAAATCCACAAATGGCCAAATTGGCTCCTCACCTCCTTATTGTGTCCCTTCGGGTCAACTCACTGTGTGGGTGGCCCACATGCACCAGGAAATATATCACCAGGGATGGAACACTAAGGATAACGACCTTATTGATTCTGGATCTTCTCCTATATCAGGGATACTCAAATCCACGTGACCGTAGTAGGATGATATTAAAAACAGAAAAAATCCTCCATCCTGCTTTTTATTAGATATATAAATAAACAAAGCCAATTGCCCACTCACATTAAATAAAGTACATAAACGCCTTTTTCCCATATCATGGGTGTATACTCATGGTTCTGATGCTGGATAACATACAGCTCCACGATAACTCCAAAAATGGCATCCACACCGGAAAACGACGTCACCGCGTTCCGGAAATGCAGTCAGTGCGTGCCGACGCATTGCGTCACGATCCACGTGACTTCTTTAGGGTGAAATGCCCCTCCTGACAGCACAGCCTTAAATAGGCAGCAAGGGCGTTGATCCACCATAGGGAGGGACGCCCCTTGCGGCCATAATTCCGGAGACCGGTCTACAGCTCCATATTAATGGTGACAGATATTTCATCAAAACACGGACTAAAACAAACCACTGAGTAGGTGTAACAAAATTAATCAGAGCTGCTGGTCAGAGAACTTAAATACATACAGGAGCATATAGGAAAAAACATCCTAAAATTTATATTCATAAAGGTGCGGAACAGCCTTCATAAATATCCATACCTATCTAAGGCAACAAAAAAACCCAAAACCGTATACTCATAAAGATGCAGGATAGCCTTCATAAATACCCATACATTATCAAAAGGACTAAAAACCCCATCATAAAAAATGGGATGTATACTAGGGAAACCTATAAACCCATACCAATATAGATAAAAATAAAATTATAAACACAGAATATACAAAAAGTATATAAAATTTTTTTATATAAAAAGTATATAAAAAAGAGAGACCAAGAGGGTAATAAAAGCATCATGCCCCATGCGAACACACACGACCCAGGATCACATAATCTAAAACATCACTTAATTCATAAAACAACATTAATGTCTAAAACACAGCATGTGTCTTAAAACTAATCTCAAATGGTACATGTCCTCAAGACTAACCTAAAATGGTACATACATCAGGATCCACAAATAAACCAGATATCTTACTTTGCCCAATGGAACACCATATAGACATAAACATCAACTACTCAAAAAATGTGAATAATAAATAATTTCTAAAAATCACTAATAAAGCAATTAAGGTCGAATTCTACATTGAGACCTTTTGGTATCAACGTCTGCATTAAAAATATCCACTTAGATTCAGCCTTACTAAGCGACCTAATTTTATGGCTGCCCCTTCAATGTCCATTATATTTCTCTATCCCCCAAAACTGAAGAGAGGAGGGGTCCTTATTATGGTGAATCAAAAAGTGTTTTGACACATTATGTTTCAGGTAACCTTTTTTAATATTCTGTGTGTGTTCCAGAATTCACTTCCATAACGGTCTTATTGTCCAGCCCACATACTGAAAACAACATTTACATTGTAGGCCATACACAACCCCCTCTGTTTTACATGAGATAAAATCTCTGATTTTGAACTCCTCACCACCATTAGTGGCTAT